AAGAAAAGCCATTGTGGCACGAGTTCTTATGAAAAATCAATTCGATCTGATTCAAATGGTTTCTCTGTTGAAGAATTTGAAGTTTTCAAAGTTTCACCAAAGAAGTAATTCAAGCATTATAGTTTATACTTTCGTTTTATATCAATATAAAATTATTTATTTTATTCTGTTGATATTTAATTATTATTTTACGAAAATAAAAAAAGCTTTTATTCGAAATATTCATTATTTTAAATTAATTGAAGAGAAATATCTATCGACTTTATATTTTCTTCTTCTAAATTTTGGGACATCAACAAGAACAACGATATTATTTAATTTTTTTATTTGTTTCGTAAATATACAATAGTACTATCATTCGTTAAACACAAGTATATTAATATTTAAAAATGTATTTGTTTGACCAATATCCAGAAATGTCATCATCAAACTATGTTAATGAATTAAATTCAAACTCTGATTGTTTAAACTGATGACACATACTTATTTAAAATTTAAAGCGTTCATTCAATCGCTTTTTATCACGGTAAAGTTTCGTAGAAAGAAAGAAGAAGTCGTTAAAGAAAGAGAATGAGCTAGAAAGGAGGAGATAAGAATAGAGGAGTTGATAACATAGAGAAGACGAGAATGGAGTAGAGGAGTGTGATGAGAATTTTAAGAGAAGTTGAACTTTTATGATTAGTTACTTACAAAGGGCTTATATTAATTATGACTATGATTTTTTAATGATGTAATTATAAATTCAATGAATTTTCGCTGGCTGGTTGTATCTATCACAATAGTTTTCTAACAATTCAATTATCCACTTGTAAATTTAAAATTCGAAAAATTCGCTATTTAATATTATGAATACTTTGGATATTTACATTTCTGGGTAATGAGATATTAAATTAGTATAATTATTTGGAGTGGTTATATTTAACATCGTCATTTAAATAGTTTATCGATGCGATGATGTACTTGGACAACATCTATTCTAAGATTTTCAAATTAATGAATTATTTGTTAATTCGTCACGATTAACGAATCAAAATATTTACAAACTCTATTTAGATAATATAAAGCTAAGAAAAAGAATAAAAATTCTTTTAAAATATAAAATTTTCGTTTTTTTTTCTTTAATATTAATAAATATCCTTTAATATATCTATAGTCAAAAAAAGAGAAAGTAATATGGTATAAAAAAGAAACTATACCCGATTAAAAATATGAACCTGGATAAATTAAATTTTTTTTTAATTATTTTCAATGGTATCATAAAACAAGGTAAATGTACAAAGATTTAAATTTATATACTTTTTCTAATTTATAATTATATAATTATTCTTGAATATGTAATCTTCGAAAACGAATTTTCGAAAAGTCGGATTGGAATACAAGATTATATTTTACAAAATATGTGACAATCCAAAAATCAGAAAAATCATCAAGTACTTCGCATATTGACATTGATGATTATTGGATTAAAAATATTCAACGGTCAATTAATTTGAGGATAGAATTAAATCAGCGATACGAGGAAACTTGGGAATATTTAATAAGGAAGGAATTCATGTAAAAAAAAAAAAGGAAAAACAACTTGACATTCAATCAAGGTTAGGAAAATGATAAATCATTATATAAATATATGATCAAAATTAGTAGTTGAAGAAGTAAAAATAAAGAAATTATTAAATTTTTTAAAAAAAAATATACTGTACATATTATATTTATTGCTATGCTGTATAATTATTTTTTGTTACCGATATATTTTTTTTACCAGAAAATTCCCACGAAACTTTACTTACAAATATTCTAATATCTACAATTTATAGTAACATAAAAAAATAAAAATAAGAAAGGTTTATTAAAGCATGCTGGAGGGAACGGTTGACCCAAAAAAATTATCGTAAATGCTCACCAAGCACTTTGTCAATAAATAAGACGTGACACATCTCTTTCTACAAGAACTTTGGCAATATAATTGGAAAATATGAGTATAGAAGTATCTCATAAAACTATTGAAGGCACCTTGAAAGTATTACATATTTAAAAAACTTCCCAAAACAACTCCTAAGTCAACTAAAGCACACAAACAAAAACGTATAGAATGGCCAAAACACATTATGATCGATGTAATAAAACAGTATTTACTGACTAAACTGCTTTCAACTTTTTAGAAACATTGCAGAACGTTGGTGTAAAGGAGAAAGACAGGTTCGTTGTAGGCCTTAAGATCGTACAAAGATTATGGGATGGTTTTACAAGTTTTTTTTTTTGTTTTAAACAAATTAGCCAGAATAATGCTGTTAAGTTCAGAAAAATAATGATGTATTAAAGATTTTTAGACAAATATTCATAAAGTATTCAAAGTGTTATAAGTGTGCTAAAAGCATGTTATGAGCATTGAGAAAAAATAAAATTAAACAATAGTTTTCGCTATAAATAAATGATAATCTTGATTTGAAATATTCCTATAAAAAAAAGAATTTGGTAAAGATCGATTTTTTTTTTCAAATGTTGCTTCAATAAAAAGACAATACAAAAAAAGAAAAAGCAAATAAAAAAATATTAAAATGGAAGTGATAAATGTGAATAAGTGTTAGCAAAAATAGAAAATCAGTAGAGTAGAAGCTTGATAAAATCGTTAGTGGAATAAAATCTTGCATTTCTAGATCCATCTATTCAGTACTTCAATTGTTTTGTGGTCTCTTCTTCAACTATTTTGATTATCCAGCCTTTGACTATTTGCTTTATAAATAAAGAAATCAAATTTGAGTTACAAAATTTTAATTGGAAAACTCAAATAACAAAAATATAATTTATACTCCAATTTGGTTTTCTGTTGACTGTTGACCTTATTATTGAATCCAATATATTTTAGCTCTTCAATTGAAAACAGCAAGTAATAAAATTTATCTGAATCCATAGGCTCCAATCTCTGATTGTTTATCCAAATCATGTTATTTCATCTTGCTTAAATGTTTCGAAGAGTCTAATCTTCAATTTCCAGTTTTAAAGATTCATCATTAACTACTAATTTTTAAAATTTTTGTGGAAAATGTAATTAGTGTTATCTAATCCATGACATTAAAAGTAAATTGATTTAAAAAAAAATCTGAAGAGGGCAAAATGTTGAAAAAAAAAAGATATACTTCATTTCTAACTTGTAAATGTTACCCAAAAAACAAATGAAAAACCATATTGAAATATTGAAATGAGCTGAGGATATCGAAATAATTTGCTGAAGTTTTTTTTTTCCTTTTTTTAATTGATCTCAATTAGTGACAAAAATATCCTTTTGTCTTCCTGTACTATTTCAAAAGTTGTAAAGATATATTCTGCATTCTGCATATTGCAATATGTAAAATAGTATCCCAAGATATACATAGTATAAAATTAAAATAAATAACAGTGGTCACAAAGTTACCAATAATATAATTTTCCAATAAGCATATTTTGTATCCTGGAATCTTCACGAGAATTGTTAATGTTCTAAAATTTTGAATGTAAAAAGTTTAAAGGAAAATTATAAATCATCATTACTTTTTATGATAAATAAAATAAGTAAATAATTTTAAGTAATTAGAAACTTTAAGTTGGAGAAATGAAAAATGATAAATACCAGATCCATTAATTTCGACTAATCAAGGTAGTTAGACGAAAAAAATTCATAATAAACATGCAAGCAAAAAGTCAATTGGAGCAAATAATTAATGCAATTAATGCGAAAATTAAATCTTACATTTCTATGTCCATTTATTCAACGCTTCAATTGTTCTGTGATCTCTTCTTAAACTATTTTAATTGTCCAGCCTTGATTATTTGTTTTATTAATTGAGAAATAAAATTTGAGCTACAAAAATTTAATTGGAAAATTCAAATAACAAAAATAAAATTAATACTTCAATTGAATTATTCATTGAATCCAATAGATTTTAGCTCTTCAATTGAAATTGCAAGTAATGAAATTTATTCGAATCCATTGGTTCCAACCCCGATTGTTTATCCAAATCATGTTATTTCGTCTTGTTTAAATGTTTCGAAGAATCCAATCTTTAATTTTCAGTATTTCTGATGAATCATTAACTACTAAATTTAAAAATTTTTCGTGGAAAAGTTATTAGTGTTATTCAATTTGTAGCATTAAAAGTAAATTTATTTAAAAAATCTTGAAAGCGATAATTCATTTCTAAGTTGTAAATATTACTCAGAAAACAAATGAAAACTAGGGTGAGGATATCGAAGTAATTGGTGAAGTTTTTTATTCCATTTTTAATTGATCTCAATTCAACAGATTTGCAATGGAAATATCCTTTTGTCACCCTGTACTATACCAAAAGTTGTTTCGGAAGCAAAGATATTACTTAATTGTGCATTCTGCATGTGAATAGAATCCTAAAATTATACATAGCATAAAATTGAAATAAATAACAGTAGTCACAAAGTTATCAATAATATAATTTCCCATTAAGCACATTTTGTGTCCTGGAATCTTCATGTGTATTATTAAAATTCTAAAATTTTTGAATTTAAAAGTATAAATTATAAATCATCATTACTTTTTATGATAAACAAATTTAGTAACCACCTTTAAGTAATAGAAACTTTAAATTGGAGAACTGAAAAATGATAAATATAAAATTCATTTCACTTACCAGATCCTTTAATTTCAACTTATTAGTTGATACAGTATATCAAGGAAGTAGATGAAAAAAGTCATAATAAAAAATACAAGTGAAAAGTCGACTGGAGCTAATAATTAATGTAATTAACACAAAAATTAAATCTTGCATTTCTAAATTCATTTATTCAGTAATTCAATTGTTTTGTGGTCTCTTCTTCGACTTTTTGATTATCCAGTATTGACTATTTGTTTTATAAATAAAGAAATCAAATTCGAGTTACAAAAATTTAATTTGAAACACAAATAACAAAAATGAAATTAATCCTTAAGTTGACTTATTATTGAATCTAATAGATTTTAGCTCTTCAATTTAAATGGCAAGTATTAAAATTTGTCAGAATCCATTAGCTCCAATCTCTGATTGTTCATCCTGTTTAAATGTTTCGAAGCATCCAATCTTCAATTTCTAATTTTTCAGATGCATTATTAATTACTATATATAAAATTTTTTGTGGAAAAAGTAATTAGTATTATTCAATTCGTGACATTAAAAATAAATTTATTTAAAGATATTTGAAGAGAGAGTATTGATAAAAAAAAAAGATATACTTCATTTTCTTAGTTGTAAATTTTAAATTTCAAATTACTCCAGAAACAAATGAAAAACCATATGTGAATAGAGTGAGGATATCGAAGTAATTGGCTGAAGTTTTTTCTTCCATTTTTAATTGACCTCAATTCAACAGATTGGTAATAGAAATATCCTTTTGTCTTCTTGCACCATACCAAAAGTTGATTCGGAGTGAAGATATATTCTGTATTCTGCAATAAGTAAAATAGAAACCTAAGATTATACATAACATGAATTGAAATAAAAAGTTACCATAATTTCCCATTAAGCATATTTTTCAACCTGGAATCTTCCTCCAAATAATCACATTTTTTCTCCAGATTAATGTGAATTATTAACATTCTAAAATCTTGAACGTAGAAGTGAAGATTTTAAAATAATTAAATAATTAAGTAAACATCTTTAATTAATAATAAACTTAAATTGGGGAAAAATGATAAATATAAAATTTGTTTCACTTACCAGATCCATTAATTTAAACTTATTGGTTGATATATAAGATAGTTGGATAAAAAAAATCATAATAAAAAATGCAACCGGATCTAATAATTAATACGAAAATATAATCTTGCATTTAAAATCCATTTGTTCAGCACTTCAATTGTTTTGGTCTCTTCTTCAACTATTTTGATTATCTAGCCTTGACTATTTATTTTATAAATAGAGAAATCAAATTCTTGTTATGAAAATTTAATTGAAAAACTCAAATAACAAAAATAAAATTTATACTTTAATTGACTTATTATTAAATTCAATAGATTTTAGCTCTTCAATTGAAATAGCATGTAATAAAATTTATCTGAATCCATTGGCTCCAACCCCAATTGTTTATCCAAGTCATGTTATTTGTCTCGTTTAAATGTTTTGAAGCATCTAATCTTCAATTTCCAGTTTTCAGATGCACCATTAACTGCTAACTTTAAAAATTTTTGTGGAAAAAGTAATTAGTATTATTCAATTTATGACATTAAAAGTAAATTTATTTAATAAAAAAAAAAGATACTACATTTTCTAAGTTGTAAATTTAAATTTCATATTAAATGAAAAACTTTATTGGAATAGGTTGATGATATTGAAATAATTGGTTAAAGTTTTTTCTTCCATTTTTATTTGATTTCAATTCAACAGATTGGTGATAGAGATATCCTTTGTCTTCTTATACTATACCAATCGTAATTTTGGAACGAATATATATTCTGTATTCGGCGTTAAGTAAAATAGAAACCTAGGATTATTCATAAAATTGAAATTAATACAAATTCGCTGATGATATAATTTCTCATTGAATATATTCTGCACCCTGAAATCTTCACTCAAAACATTTAAAATTTTCTCCAGATTAATGTGAATTATTAATATTTTAAAATTTTGAATGTAATACCTTTAAGTAATTAGAAATTTTAAACTGGAGAACTAAAAAATGATAAATATAAAATTCACTTTGCTTATCAGATCCATTAATTTCAACTTATTAACTGATAAAATATCTCAAGGTAGTTAGATGAAAAAAAATCATAATAAAAAATACAAATGAAAAGTCAACTGGGTCTAATAAGTAATGCAATTAATACAAAATCTAAATTTTGTATTTCTAATTCATTTATTCAGTACTTCAATTGTTTTGAGGTCTCTTCTTCGACTATTTTGATTATCCAGCCTTGACTATTTATTTTATAAATAGAGAAATCAATTTTGTGTTAATTTTATTTTAGTTATTTGAGTTTCCAATTAAATTTTCATTAACTTCAATTTGATTTTTTATTGACTATTGACCTTATTATTGAGTCTAATAGATTTTGGCTTTTCAATTGAAAACAGCTGGTAATAAAATTTTTCTAAATTCACTGGTTCTAACCCTGATTGACTATCCAAGTCATGTTATTTTGTCTCGTTTAAATGTTTTGAAGCATCCGATCTTCAATTTCCAGTTTTTCAGATGCATCATTGACTATTAAATTTAAAAATTTTTGTAGAAAAGTAATTAGTACTATTCAATTTTGACATTAAAGTAAATTTATTTTAAAAAAATCTGAAGTGAGAGTAGTAATAAAAAATAAAAATATACTAAAATTCATTTCTAAGTTGTAAATTTAAATTTCACAATAAATGAAAAATCATATTGAAATAAGGTATGGATAGCAAAGTAATTGGTTGATATTTTTTCTTCTATTTTTGATATCAATTCAACAGATCTGTGATAGAAATATCCTTTTTTTTTCTTGCACCATACCAAAAGTTTTTTTGGAAGCAAATATATATTCTACATTCTACAATAAATAAAATTGAAACTCAGGATTATACATAGCTTAAAATTTAAATAAATAACAGTAGCCACTAAGTTATCAATAATATAATTTCCCATTAAACATATTTTGCGTCCTTACCCAAAACATTTATTAATATTCTAATATTTTTGAATGTAAAAATATAAAGAACACTTTTAAATAATTAAAGTAATAAGAAACTTTAAATTGGAGAACCAAAAATAAATATAAATTTGCTTCGCTTACCAGATCCAGTAAATTCAACTTCTCAGTTGATTTATCAAGGTAATTAGATGAAAAAATTCATAATGAAAAAAATACAAGTGAAAAGTCAACCGGAGCTAATATTTACTTTTATTAATATATTCTTGTCTTTTTTTGAATGAAGTAAGAACTCATGTTATAAAGTAGTTAAAAGAGAAACCATAATAAAAAAGATAGCTAAAAGTAACAAAAACACGGTGAAAATGAAAAGTAGTTGAAATATTTACAAGAAAGATGATAAGTTATTATTATGATAAAGTTAACAAAAAATAAAACAAAAGCATAAAAACAAATGTAAAAATAGGCATAGTTGATGGATATAAACAAATATTATTATTATTATTGGCGGAAAAGCATCACAATAAATAAAAAAATAAAAGTTTTTAAGGATAAAAAGACAGTTACATCTAAGGTGAAGAGAATAAATTCGTTTTCTTTATTTTTCGTGAGATCGTAAGAGGAATGAAGAAACTCAAGAAAGGAAAAAAGAGTATTTTGACCAATTATTTGATTTCAAATCTTGCACGCACGTGAATGATCATTTTATGATGTGATGTAATCATTATACTATATTTTTAGTGATGTGGATCACTTATAACAATTTGATTATCTCTCATAAATACAATATTAATTTTATATTAGTATAAATTTTCAATCTAGATGATTTTTTCAATTGTTATAAAAAGAATTAACTAATGAAGAAATTAACTTGGATTTATTACATAAATATTAAATTTTAATTCTCAGCAGGCTCATCTCATTCATTCAAATAATGAAGATTACATTTATATTATCTCTATAGCAGCAATTCATTATTCTCTAAATATGGCTGACATAAAATCGATATCTCATCAGTCATCGATATTAATAATAAATATGATTATGTGACGATTCTTACTATCATCTCTGGATCACCAATTAATTTAATCCTAAAGATCGATCTGGACTTAATGAATGTAGATAGATAGATAGATAGAAAAGAAAATGTTCAAATGAGGATAATTTAACTGAATTATCTCTTGTATATAATTTTACTGTTGATGTAATAAGTTATGAAATTATGATAAATGAGTTTCTTATTATTCTAAACAAAATATCTACATTCTATAAGTATCAACTAATATATTAAGAGTTGATATTACCAATGCCTTCTATTATCTTTTTTATGGAACAATCAAATTCATAATTTAGAACTTTACTTTTTTATAAATTGTTACGATAGAATTCAAAATCTCGCAATTTCAAATTTCAAAACTTAAAAATATTCAATTACGTTGGTTTCATAGGAGAAAACTTGCATTTTGAATTAAAACTTTATAATCCAAGTAATGTAATGATCCTAAAACTTTTGTTAAATTTTACTAGCACATCAAAAATTATTAATAAATTGATTAAAGAATCTATTTAATCATTATTGTATTATCCAAAATTTTTAAATGAAATAATATTTTTTTTATTTAAAAGAAATGAAGAAAATTATTGTATACAAATTTATTTTATAAACAAACATCACTAAATCATTTGAATCATTCAAAAATCTTCTCCCTTCATTGTCTTCTTCTTCTTCGTTGCCATCTACCTATAATTAAAATATATTTATATTAAACTTACATTTAATTTATTAAATTATAAGAAAATCATTAATTATACTTCCATTTGTTGCTGGGCATGAAAAGACACATTTGCCAGCTTCATGAGACTATTTGAATGATAGAGAGCATCCAAATTGTTATCAACACCATTATCAAATGTATCCACAACATTATTCCCACCATCATTTTCATCGTCATCAAGATTATTAATTACTATTGCTATTATTATGATTGTTATTATTATTATTAATATCATTATAATTATGATGACTATTATTATTATTATATACATAGCATCTCCTCCTTCTTCACCCTCGTTCTTTTGGCAGCTTCCAGACTTTCGTCTCTCAACTTTGAATATTCACGAATATTTATTTAATAATCCTTTTTTTTTTCTTTGAAATAACAATAATTAAATAAATTAACTTGCGACATCACGTTATTCACATTCTTACGAGACCACGCAGGCCCTCTCTTTAATGCATGACCTTTTTTCTTAGTTGGTGGTGGTGGTAGGACAAATATCGTTTTGTTGTGCCACATCTTTATAAGAAAGAATACTGATATTATATATAGATAAGCGAATAATATGGATTTTTTTTTTATAATAATAATAAAGACAATTGTTATTCACCTTTTTTTGATCTCCTCAAAGGAGTCAAATTTTTATAATCATAATTCATTTGAGAAATTATTCTTTTGGACATTTTGTTGTTAATTTTAATTTCCAAAACTTTTTTTTATTTTTTTGAGAAGAAAAGAGATGAAATTGTAATGAGTAGAAAACTCATGAATCATATCCTTTTTTTCAATTACTCTTACTATTCCATTAAAAAATTCTAGTTCCGGTCGTACAATTAAAAAATTTCAATTATAGTTTATTTTCAGGGGCATACATTCTTTCCTCAGGACTGATATAATTATTAGTAATTACAGTAAATTATAATAAATGTATATTTATATTTATATTATTGCTTTTTTACATGTCACTGTATTTTATTTACATCAAAAAGAAAAAATACAACATCCAAAGTACCTAATTTAGGAGTGTAGCTTGAGTAACGAATTATTAATAATTAAACAATAATCAATAATTATTAGCAAATTTTTTTTGCAAATCCCATGTTTAAAATCCATATTTAGATAAAAATAATTGTTGCTGATTTATTTTGATTGATATTATTAACTATTTTTAATTTTTTATTAAAATTATTATTCAGAATAAAATTTGGATTCACATGACATACTTGAACCTGAAAAGAAAAACTTTATCAAACTTTGGTATTATTATTTCTTTTTTATTACATCATTCTGCATTGTTTGAAATTTATATTGACTAAGTAAAGAATATATAGTTATCTTTTGACCAATCAATATATCAAAAGTGATTCGAATAATTATAATCACATGACTATAATTATTTGACTATAAGATTATAAAGGCTTTTTTTATTTAATTACAATACTAATAGATAAGATAATCACTATTGTAACCATAATAATAATTGTAATCATTATATGCCTAATTATTATTATGATTATTACTATTCTTCTTTTTTAAAATCACTTATCTAGTTTAAATCGGAAAACGTTTATAGAATAGATCTTAAAATATGAGTTGCAGATAAAAAAGGAAAAAAGGGGTTGATGAATAGTTTAATTTTTTTTGTTTATTATTTATTTTTCTTCTTTTTGTAATCACGTAAACAGCTCACTTTTTTATTTGTTATCAACAATTATTTTTTTTTATTTACATAACATAACAAAAATAAATATTTAAAGGATCCATCCCCCACACATTTCACATTAAATTTTCTTCAATAAAAATTATTTTCTTCGAAAACAACTAAAAAATTTTCTTCAATAAAAACTTGACTTTTTCTCAATAAAAATAAAACTATTTTCTAAAATTTATCCATCAACATTAATAAATATGAATAAAATCCCTGAAACCAATCCTTCAAATATAAATACTCAACCAATTATGACTCTTCGAAGGGGTAGAAGCAAAGGAATAATTAATATAACAAGCGAAACACCTACACCTACCAAAATCAAAACACAAATCAATAATTCCGACACTTCTAATTCTGATACTCAACCTACTATAACCCTTCGAAGGGGCAGGAGCAAAGGACTGATTAATACAAGTGAATCATACACCAAAGTCAATTCTAAAACAAAAAATGATACCTCTAATGGAACGAATTTAAATACACCAAATACTCAACCTACTATAACCCTTCGAAGGGGCAGGAGTAAAGGAAAAATTAATATAACAAGCGAAACACCAAAAAATTTAAATAGTACAAATAATCAACCTACTGTAACCCTTCGAAGGGGCCGGAGCAAAGGAAATATCAATCCAACCATAACTGAAGGTTCATCTACTTCTTTAAGAAAAAGAAAGGCCGAAAATGAACCACAACAACCAAATCAAAAACGTGGCCGAGGAAGGCCACGAAAAAACACTGAACTTCAACCACAACAACCAACATCACAGCAAAAACGTGGCCGCGGAAGGCCACGAAAAATCCAACCTCAAACAAAATCTCAAATACAATCTCAACCATTACAACAAACACAACCCGAACTACAACCACCACAACTCGAACCACAACCACAGTCATTACCACAACCACAACCCGAACTACAACCACCACAACTCGAACCACAACCACAGTCATTACCACAATTTCAACCCGAGCCCGAAACTGAACCACAACCATCACAACTCGAACCACAACAACAACCACAGTCATATCCACAATCTCAACCTGAACCCGAGCCACAACAGCAAACACAACTCCAACCGCAACTCCAACTACAACCTCAACCTCAACCACAACCCCAACCAAGAATTTTCGGTAGTGGATATTCCGGTGTATTTGGATCAGGAACCAAATATACTGGAAATTCATTGATGGGAAGCTTTATTGGCTCTCAAAGATCCATTTTTGATGAGAAACCTACACGAGATGGGGAAGAGAATGAGAAGGAAAGTGGAGCAGAAGAAACCTCATTCCAACAACAAGAAGGTAGAAACATAAGAACAAGAATAATAGTAATAATAATAATAATGATATTAATACTAATAATAATATTTTTTTATATTTAATTTATTTAGTATTAACTGGTGAAGAGAACGAAATTACTCGACATTCAGTTAAAGCTAAACTATATTGTATGGTTGGGCAGATGTGGAAAGAGAGAGGAGTTGGGACCCTAAAACTCAATTACCCGAGAAATTATGAAAATAATCCTCGATTAGGTAAACTTTCAGTATAAATTTATTATTATATTATTAATATTGATCAAGATTTGACTAAAAATTTATGATTTCTTTATAGTAATGCGGGCAGATAATGTCTTAAGAGTGATCTTAAACGTTGCATTATTTCCTGGAATGCACGTTGAAAGATCACAGGAAAAATTCATAAGATTAGGTGTATTCGAAGGAGGTTTACTCGTTCATCTTGCTGTAAAGGTTTGTAATTTATTATCTGTAATTATATTTATTATACTTTTTATTATATTTTAATATATTTTTATATATATTGCATTTCTTTAGGTATCGGATTCCAAGACAGCAGATAAATTATATAGAGCAATATTGGCCGCAATACCTCCAGCTCAAAATCAATCGCCCCCTCTTCCTGAATTAACTTCGGAGATGTCATTCTGAGATAGTTGCTTTTTAAAAGAATTTAAATTTTTTTAATTCTAATTATAACAATTTCGAAGCTAGTTGTAGATTTGGCGTGTAGTTGTTTTATACTGGTGTTGGTGATGAAAATGATACAGATTTATTTCTTTTTTTTTTAATTTTTTTATTTTTATTTTATTTCAGATATCTTAGTTTTCATATATATACAATTATTGCAATAATAAATAAATATATTAGATTAAGTTTAATTGTCTATTTATTTCATGATTTCATATTAATAATCATTAATCATCATTATTCCGTTATTATGCTTAATCATGATCAATAACATTGTTTATTTTATTTAAATATCATGTTTATTTGATTACAATTAAAGTTCGATCAAATCATTATAGTTTCATTAATTGAATTGTTATCTCATTATTGAATACCAATGAAATATTATTAAATTAATTTAATATTATTTGATTGACGATACATAAAATTGGTTATTAAATTATTTATTTATATATTTAAAAAACAATACAGGAATTTATTCTACATTAATTTAACATGGTATGAAACAAATTCTTATTATTCAAAATACAAATTTACCATTTTATTCATGCCATATTTTCAAATAAATAAATGAATGAATTATTGTCCGGAGAATAGCAGAATAACGCGTGAGATGATGCCAAAGTCACATTTTTGATGCACCAATAGGCAAAATATCAAAAACAAAATGAGGTCTGTCCGATTTTTTTTAATAATGATCATTATATAAAGATCACATGTCACAATATACTAGGAAGATGGGAACCATTAGTCCTAGCAAAAATTGTGTAATATTGGTTCTTTATCTACAATAATCGTTAACTAAAAAATCGGGCAGACGTCCGTTTCCAAAGTTTCGTGTTTGATGCTTTATCTTTAAAATATCAAAACGTAAATTTGTTTCCACACTACGCGTTCATTAAGGTGTCCTTCGCTATTCACGGACAATCATTTCCTAATTACATATATATACTAGGGAAATGTGGACCATTGTAAGTCCGGAACAAGAATTGTGTAATTGATATTTTAAATATGAAAATATCAAAAACGTAATTTTTTTTGCATGTTTCTTTATACATATAACGTTATCTAAAAAATCGGACAGACACGTTTTTCCAAATTACGTTTTCGATATTTAAATATTACGTTTTTGATAATTTTGGAAAATGGCGATGATTGTTGTAGATAAAAAACACATGACAATAAATTACGTTTTGATATTGTGATATTTTATAATATCAAAAACGTAATTACGTAATAACAATTATTGCTCCGGATCATGTGTTCTTTATTTGCCTGGAGCGTAGCGTAAGACATTTAATGGACGCGTATGGTAAAGCAAAAATTATGTTTATGATATTTAAATAATTAAGTTTTTGATATTTTAAATATAAAAATATCAAAAACGTAATTTTGAAAAGGAAGTCTGTTCAATTTTTTAGATAACGATTGTTGTAGATTAAGAATACATGCAATAAAAATTACGTTTTTGATATTTTTATATTTAAAATATCAAAAACTTAATTTTTTATTTTTTCAAATATTTCTCCAGACTACAATGGTTTACTATTTTCTAGCCTACTACAATAAAAAATTGGACAGAAACGTAAATTTAGTTTCATCCCACGCATTCATTAAGTCCTTCCGGACATCATTTCCTAGTTACATATATACTAGGAAAACGGGAACCATTGTAAGTCCTGAGCAAAGATAATAATTTCTAAAGCAAATTCCTTTTAAATATTTTCACAATCAAAAAGTTGTAAAATAAAGCAAGTAAAGTTGT